CATTAAAGTCAAACTATTAATATTATCAACATTTTTTTGTTCTATTTATTTATTTTAGTTATATTTAAAGATTTAACAATATTGACAAGAATAAGGAATACAAAAGAAAATAAAGGAAATAAAATGTATTTGATCTTATGCTCATGATATAATTATAATGTAAATAAATCTGTGATATAATAATTGTAATGATAAACAAATCTTGGAATGTAATAGTAACAGATATAATTATTCATATTTATCATGAATTATATAATATATTATAGCATAGATATATATTACATGATTTTAGAGATCTATATCTGTATATTACATGTAAATTGATAAATTTTCTATTATATATATATTTTTTAATTATAATCAAAAAATTAAGCAAAAATTTTTATTTAAATAATTTAAGATATTTAATTATTTTATTTATATTTATTAGTAATTTAATTTTAAAAGCAATATTTGTTATTAATTTTATAGTTTTAAAGAAACTAGAATATTTAAACATATATATATTATAAAATAAATTTATATCTAAAAATTGTTTTATTATTAAAAATAAGATTAATTAATATATTTAGTTATTTGAGATATTATAGTTAATATATAATAATTAATATATTTATGTATCTTTTATATTTAAATTTATTTAAATTTTAAAATTGCAAATTATTTAATTCTTTAGTTTTGTAAATGTTTATTAAATTTTCTTTTTTTTTAGTATTTAATAAAGATCTTAATATAATTTTATTAAGTTTTACCTTTTATCATTTAGTTGACTTGCTAAATTTCTAAATATTAAAAAATATTTTTTAAAATAGATCGGTTGATTGCTAGGAAAATCAAGGTTCCGGGAATCTTTTTAACAAAATTGATGATTTTTATTGCATTTTAGTTTTTGATGTTATTAGATTAAAATGCATTAAGCTCTAAAAAATCTTTCGGAACCTGATTTTCCTAGAAGTAATGATATACTATAAAAAAATATCTTTTTTAAAATTTTAATAATTTGCAAAGCATACTATAATAAAAAAAGTTATTTTATATATCTTATGTAAGAAAACTCTGTCCGATCTTTACAACCTGATTGGTTAATCTTAAGTTCCCAGAATTGGAAATTCTGCTAGAAATGAGGGGAAAAAGCAATTATATGCAAAATTTCGTTTTTTTTTTAATTTGTATTAATTAAATTCATGATCACGTTTTTTCTTTTTTACTTTCCAAAATCAAATAACAATGCATGTGTTATTTGCTCACACTAATAAAAAAGTAAACTAAAATATTGTTCAGACGACTAACCAATTTGGGTTGATAAGAAAATTTTTAACCGAAGATCTCTGAAAAGTGTGGAGTATTATAATCTCTATTAGATCGATTTACTTGGTATTTACCTTATTTATTTCTCCCGAAGGTTTGTGGTCACACTTTTTTTTTCTTTGTGATTGTGAAAAAAAGAAAAAAATATTACTCCATACATGGTAAAAGAGTATGCGATTCATGTAAAATGTTTTTCCATCATCTTTGTGTAAAAAATATTTACTAAATTCGAAAAAGGATTTTTTTTTTTTTTATATATAAATAATAAAAAAAGAGTAAACCCCCAAGAATTTAAATATTTTATCCCAAAGGAAGAATAACTAGAACTTAGGAGATTCGGAAATGACATAGGGATAAAGTGATCTTAAAAATGACGAATAAAGAATTCTGATATCAGATGGCGAATGCTATGTTACTGCGGCTCAATAGAAATCCTTTTTTATTATTACATTTTGAAAATATTTATTTGTGAAACACGTGTGAAGATGTACGTTGTAATATGATGATCATTTAGATCGCTTGTTCGGAAGATACTTTTATTCTTTCGGTTGAGTAGAATAATTGTGCGACAATTAAAAAATTGATAAAGGTTAATCAAATATAGCTTTATTTCTTGAGTTTTTTTTTTATAAAAAAAACTGATTTTAAATCACCTTATAAAATAAAATATTCAAAAGTCGTATGATAAAAATTGTCATTAATCATTTACTTGAGCGATAAATTGATCCTTACAATTACGTTTATGCACATGTCGCAGAAATTTTTCTCTACTTATTTTCTCAATTAGGAAATTCAATATATAGCAACCCTCATAGCAACCGTAATAGATAATAATAATTGCTGCATTTTTACTATTGCAGTTTTGTTTACCTGTCAATTTCTTTGGTTTACGTTAAATACACCCTTTTCCCTTATTTTAAAATTGCGACTCTCTCATTTTAAACAAAAACGAAATTTATTTTTCGTAATCCAATCTTTTTTTTTTTTTTCAGAGCAATAAGTTATAAATTGAATTCATAATTCCATACTTTATTTTGCTGCGCATACTTTAAAGGCCGTTGAAAATGACATTGGAAAAAGTTTATGCCATTTATTCTTTTCTGGCGGATTGTGATGAAGAACTTGATTTTAAATATGGAGAACCTATCATAGTACTTGAAAAAGATGAGATGTATGGAGATGGCTGGTGGAAGGTAAAAAATCATTGTTAAAAGTGAAAAAGGTTTTTCAACCGTAAAGTTATTTTTTAATACTTTTTTTTTTTTAAAACAAAAAAAATTTCTCGTATCCTACTTGTGTTTCATTAATAGGGCCGAAATATACGTGGAAGAGTTGGTCTTTTCCCTATGAATTATACAAGTAATGATAATCCAAGAGACCCTTTAGAACATAAGAACCTTCGTAATAATAATCTGTCAAAACCCGTATCACCACCACCTTTTTCGATCGATGAAACAATTGATGAATTACAAGATAAATTACAAAGAATGATGTTGAAAAAAAGTTCATCACTATCAACTTCCAGTAGTTATGTTTCCGCACCTATAAGTTCGGAAAAAACTTCGCCAACGAATTCGCAACTGTTGAACACTTTTGATAATCTCAAAAATTTGTCATTTTCTACCTCTTCTTCTGACAACAATTATATAAACGAAGATTTGAAGTTTAAAGATCATCCATCGACCTGGGATGTACAAAAAGTATGTCAGTGGTTAGACGAAAAAGGTTATCATTCTGAAAGGAAACATTTTATTGAAAATGACATCACCGGGGATATACTTTTAGAATTAAATTTAGTCACCCTCAAGGAAATCAATATTTCGTCTTTTGGTAAACGCATTCGTTTAAAGAATGAAATCGCCTTATTAAAGAATCAGTATTCAACGAATGATAACGTTAATGATGATCAGGTAAATTATAAAGAAAATTTTTGCTAAAAATTATTTCCCTTAAAAAAATTTAATTAAAAAAGAGTGTTAATTTGCTTTTTAGACTCAAAGCAAAACACTTTCGGGTTCATCATTTGGAGGTTCTGATATTAATGTACCAAACCATTCCCTTTCAAACGTTGATGAAACATTTTCCGACTTCTCAAGCAAGCTGCACAGCAATCTTCAAACAATTCCTCCATCATCAAAAGATTCCGAACCGTCAATGGTAAGTAAAGAATCAAATTAAATAAGTTATTGAAGTCTTTCTTTAAGTATAACGTTATTTTTATATGTGCATATAAAAGATTGTTAAGAAACCAAGTCGATCCTTTTTAAAGTTTGGTTCCTTTTCGAAAGCCACAAATAAAAAAGAAAAAGTAAAAAAATTCGACAAACAGGTAAGCAATTTGGTAAAAAACAATGGCTGCAAAAAATTTTTTTGCTTTTACTTTGAGATGAGATATTAATACGTGATTTATTCGATAGGAAGTAAAGCCCAAGATAGAAAAGATATTTAGTAATAAGGATGACGTTCGTCCTACGTCCGAAGTAGAAAAACGATCGTTGAGATTTATTCTGAGAAAAAATAAGAAAAGTATTTTGGTACATATAAATTTTAAATTTTATATATATATATATATATATATATATTATTTTATTTTATTTTATTTTTTGATGGTCTTTAAATATAATTGCTCTAATGTTATTCCTTTTAGGATCGAAATAGTTTGGTCGAAAATCAATTAGGATTTTTCAAGGAATTATTAGTGTAAGTTCTAGAATTTCTTTTAACTGGGAACCGATTGTAATTTTTATTGATTTATTTCGTACTTATTTCTTTAGTGATAATGAAAGTCATGAAGATATTGATTCAAAAAATCGAGGAGCTAGTTATTATTCCGATCCCGATCATAGTAGCGTTAATTGTATCGATGATGATATATTAAGAATTGGTGTACCGGATCATCAAGGTTCGCTAATGAAGCAAGGAGATAAATATAAAACCTGGAGAAAACGTTATTGTATATTAAAAGGTTCGGATTTATATTACTTACAGGACGATAAGGTAAATCTTCTTCAATATATATATATATATAAAATATATTTTACATATATCACATGGCAACAAAACTTAATAAAAACGGTATATATTAGACGATGAAAACGAAGGGTCATATTAACCTTACAGGATATAGAGTTATCCCCGATGAAAATATATACCAAGGAAAATATGGATTCAAGTTGGTTCATGATACAGAACGTCCTCATTTCTTTGCTCATGAAAATTTAGCAACAACGAAAGCTTGGATGAAAGCTATAATTAAATCTACTATTGAAAGAAATATAGCAGGTATGAGAAATGAAGTAAATTTCGAACCATTAAAATCAAACGCAGAAAAATAATCGTTTCATTTTTTGATTTTCGTAGCCCCTGTTGTCTCATCAAATAATGTTTCAACGATTACATTATCCGAGGCAGCGAGTCGGATGGTCCCATCACGCCCGGCTCCATCACCACCATTGGTTACCAATAATAATACCACAAATTTATCACCGCGCCGTCCATCGACCTCTGATTCTGAGCAAGGTAGTGAAATATCTTTACAGCATAAACTCAAAGTACAACCAACAAGAACCCCACCATCATATCCCAAACCATCAACACTTAAAATCAGCAGCAGACCTACGTCACCTGTATCCAATTTCAATTCACCTACTAAAAAACGTTCTGATTCCGTAACGAATCAACCAAAATTTCCTTCAATGTCTGTATCGCTTTTAAATGCGCACAGATCTCCTGCTTGTCATGAAAATAAGTTTAGTGGGATTTCAATGGGTTATTATGTGTAGCTTTTTAAACAAAAACTCGCGCATAAATATTGATACATGTATATATAACTTTTGTATTCAACATTATATAAAATAAAATACGTATAATTTAGATACTTGCAAATCGCATAAATATTGATACATGTATATATAACTTTTGTATTCAACATTATAATAAAAAATAAAATACGTATAATTTAGATACTTGCAAATTCGAAATTTTAACAAATAAATTTAAAAGATGTATATGGGCGGCAGTCAATAGAAAAGGGGAAAATCTAAATTTTTTTTTAATTTTTTTAATTGGTCTACTTGACTCCCCCCTTTTTACTGATATGTAAACATGGTCGTAGACCATTATTATATTATAACCCTTAAAAAGAAGTTGTGGCAAGATCACTCCTAATATAATTCTCCTTTCCCTTATTACCGAAATTATAAGATGGATTGCAAGACAAATTACTACCCCTATTGTCATCTATTGTTATTGATTGCACTTTCGAGTAATTTATTCCGAATTTGAAAATACAATTCTCCTAATTCTTAAAAAAACGTTCATGACTGCATTTTAACGCATTAAATTAATGCCGGCTGTAGTTCTCATAATGATTATAGTTTACAAACAAATACTTAAACAAAAAACGAAACACAAAATAGAAACCACCAACCACTTAGTCCTTAGCTTTTGTAGTATATACATTGTTCATTTAGAAGTTTCAGAAACAAGAATACCAATTAAAGGTAATTAATAATTCGTGTTTATATTTTGTATATTTTTGTATACCTTTTATACCTTTACATTTAATCCCTATTGCCATAATGTGATTGGTCTCAGCAATTTTTCCAATTAATAATATTTTTTAAAACAAAAAATGCTAAATGATAATACAAATTAAGATAATCTCTTTATTTTCTTTATTTTGAATTAGTTTTTTTTTTAAAAAAAAAATTTATAGTTTACAAGTGAAAAAAAATTTTTTTTCTTGAATAAACAAATAAACCATAAAAAACCACAGCCAGTCCAAAAATAAAAATAAAAATAAAAAATAAATAAATAAATAAATAATGCTAATAATAATCTAATATTAATTCTATAAATAAAAAATATACTATTACTATTATACAAATTCATTTCCACCTATTGGAGCCAAATCATTATAATCTTTTATCAAATTATCGCGAATTTTAAATAAACCCGAAGATTTCATACTAGTTCGTATCGTAGAATTATTATGACATGCTAATATGTTTATCGTACTTGCAAAATGACGTCGAACTGATGTAACTGTAATGAAAATTTGTTGTAATGTATGATTATTATTAGAATTAGTTATAGGTGAATAAGGCGGGGAAGGTGGCATCGAAATGGGTTGACTGGTGTTTATGATGAGATTTGATTTGGAAGTTTGTGATGATGATGCTGATGATGAATTTGAGTTTGAAATGTTCTTACTAACACGATCATCAAGATATCGATATAAAATTCCAAGATTTCTGAAAATATAGATTGAAATTTCTGTATTAACGTTAGGATTCTTGTCAAAGTATGAAAGAAGAATATCTATGAGTCGAAGCATAAATTTTTCCGAATAATTTTTGTCCGAAAGATTTTGTGGTATGATAATTGCGCCTTTTGCCTTTGACGTGGTCGAATTTTTTCGAGAAATATCAAACACCATCATTTTTTGCACGATCGTATCAATCATTGTGAGAATATGTTGATTATAAATAGTGCTTCCTGCAATCTTGGATCTTCCTTGTAGGAAAACTATAACCCATTCTAACCAATTTTGTTCCCATAAACATCTCATATTGACGGGAGTCAATATCCTTTTTATATCAGTCAACACTTGAAATACAAGTTCGGAATTCTCCGATACTTTGAGCAAATCAAATATCAAATAGATCGTTTCAGGGTATATTAATTCTTCGGTGCTCTTATTCATCGTTCGAGAGATACTATCTTCCGAACTTCGAGGTGAAGATCTTTTAAATATAGGTCTATCCAACATCGTTAAAGAACAATTTTTAAATTCTGGATCACTTTGATAAAAATTTATTCCAATTCCTATTAATACTTGTGTAAATTCTAGCGAAAGTTGATGCTTCACTAAATATAATCGCATCGTGTCAAATCCATTAATTTTAACAAGTACTCCTCTACTATGCTTAACATTTGAACTCATTAAAATTCCCATCATTTTAAGGATTGTAATACGGAACTTTTCATTAGGGGCTTCAAGGAATGGCATTAAAAGTGATAAAGCTTTTAATCCACGTAATTTTTCGACAAGTTGAGTGTCAAATGTCATAATCTTATAGAGCATGCTAACTATGTCACACTTAACCTCAATGTTCACCCACTTATCCTTTTCCAAATATTTAAATAACTTTGTTAGTTCCTCAACGGTTAAATCTAAAATCATTACTTCAAGTGTTCGCATTGTGAAATGTTGAAGCGATGCGGGAAGATTATCGATAAGATCAAATAAAACGTCCACGCCGAGGTAGGTACGCCATGTTTTGAGATTCTCGGGCACATCAATCAACATATCCATCAAAGTACGTACTACAGGTAATTGTACGGATTCTTTACAACCAGCCAAAAGATCGATAACCACCCTCAGAGGATCGATATTTATAATGAGCATTTGGTTATTTTTCATCACGCCATCACTAACTATATCCAACAAAACATAGAAATGTTCAGGACTTATGACGCTATGATCCTTGCTCAAGGATCGACGGATCGTATCAAATCCATGCCTTTCCGTGAATTTAACAACATTTTGTGGACTCTTGTAAAGCAAATTAGATATTGTTCGAAGTCCGACCAGCTGCTGTTGTGGATCCATATATAAGATTTGGAAGCAATGATCTATTCTTCCAGTTTGTTCAATGATGTCTCTCATGGAACGAGTAGCGTGCACAGAACAGCCCCCTTCCATTCTCCCAGCCGTCTTTGTAAAACTCATCGAATCCGAATTTTTTCGAGACTTTTCACTTTCAATTATGGATTTTTGCTCAATGTTCAAATATGATTGTGGGTGAATGGCCATTACTTCCTTATTTTCTACACCGAGTAAACGATAATTCTTAGAATAGGCCGGACCTCGATTGAAAACAATCTCTGATATTTCTTCATCCCAAAGTCCTCTGAACAAATAAATAGAACCGATTTGTCCGTAGAAATGACTGTTAATTGATTCTTTATTAGGCGATTTTTGTAAACAAGGACTGATTTCCTTTCCACGACGTCCAATAACAGCAACAATCTTTTCTTTGCCCGTCATCTTTGGATAATTAAACATATTATGTGATTGTATCATAGATCCATCAACAATTAACGATGTACTATCTTTGGAATGAACGAACACGATATGATGCCAAATTCCAATCTCTTGAAAATCGAAACCGTAAAAAACAAAATCCTCCGGTGGCAAAGTGTGGTGTTGGGTTCGAACACAGAGACAATATCGATCCGATCTATCCATACGTTTAAAATAAAGTTCGAAAGTTGTGCATGTCCCTGATTTATCTTCATAACACAATAATCCAGTTTCGTCTCCAAAGAATGCAATAACTTTAATCCACATACTAAGTGTATAACCATGCTTTATACTAGGAAATTTATCCAAAGGCGCGGTTTGTAACACACTATCGATTCCATTGAAATTAAAATAACAAGATGGATCCATCCTTTCCGATATTCGCTCAATTGAATAAATCATTTGCATTTGTATCTCACGAATGAAGAAAGGATCAATTTTAATTGTTGAATTTTTAGGTGAAGGTAGAGACTGTGAGAAAGAATCGCCTGAACTAGAATTTGACCTTCTATGTGAACTTCCTCCATCTAAAAAATGTCCGAACATACTAAGGGGATCATATGCGGCTTCAAATAACAACATCACATCCGAGTTCGTCATATCATACGCCCCTAATGCAGGTATCAAATCTACATATGACGGAGGGTGCTGCCTAAGAGGCTCGAAATCGTTTGAGCATTTGCCCTTCACAAATAAAACTTCCATTACAAACTTCAAAGCTCTATTGGCGCACAATAGTTCTTTATTACGCGGATCAACCTCCATCAACATCATTAATAAATTAAAGTAATAGTGCTGCAATTTCTCGTCATTACCATCTGCAATATGAGAGAGAAGTTTTAAAGCCATCATTGCAGCATCTGAATCGCGGAAAATAATTCCTACCCAATTTCGAAGTTTATCATTAATTGTCGAAGAATCTGATTTGACAGCATTTGAATTTAAACCGAATCCACCCAAGTTGCGAGAATTACTTCTTTTGCGAGTTGTTAGTTTACTCGATTGTTCAATAATTTCTTCGGTCTTAAGTCGTTCAACTCGAGTAGTAGGTGCTAATGTAGGACTTGGAAGTTGTGTGCTACTTTTACTACTTGACCTAGACATTTTAGCTGTACCATTAGAAAAACTAGCTAAATTGTTCTCGTTCGTAGACTCAAACGGAACTTTATTAAGAGATGAAGAAGAGCCATTTTTCGTCCCCTCGCAAAAGCTCGTCGAAGTTGGGCTGCCTACCGTTGCGCGATTGTTATTACGTTTGTGCTCTTCTTGCTTATTACTATATATAAAGAAAATGAGCAAATAATATCCGGTAATTAATATATATGAATAATATTTTTACCTTTGTTTATTAAATCCCACATGCCGCTTTTGTGTAAATTTAAGTAACTCTGTAAATAAAGGAGTCGGATCTAATAACCCAGAAATAAAAGGCATAATATCACTACTGATCAAAAATGGATCGGCTTCTACGGGACATTGAGATAAAGATCGACTGATACTTCCAATCGTTGCAACTTCAAGAACAATTTCACAACATGTTCTTATGAAAGTGAAATGAAATTAATAATTAGTACATTCACCTCTTCAAATTGCGTAGTTTGTGCTTATCGAACTTACTTATCAATAGGTGTTACTGAGGAAAGGATCAATTCCAGGAAACCATCATATCCGAATAAATTTCCCAGTAATTGC